TTTATCTTTTACTTAAACTTTATAAAGAGCTTATTATTATTTTTTACTATTTTCTCCTTAATTTTTTATTATTATTTATTATTTAAAGCCTTAATTATAGCTTTAGTAAATTAACCTCTTTATTTTTTATTAAAATTAACTAGTATTAAAGAGTTTCTTTCTTTTATTATTTATTTATTTTATTATTTTATTTTTACTATTTTTATTTATTTAAATTTATAATAAAGAAAGTAATTATTATTCTTATTTAGGGAAAAGGAGGTAATAAGAAGTACTACTTCTAAGAAGAAGTAATAAAAATTAAGTTTATAATTCTAAAACTTTATTTATAACTACTATTAATTTTCTTCTTAAGGGCTATCTAATTAGAAGATAAACTAATATAATCTTTTAATTATAAAGGCCTATAATATAAAGATATTAAAAAATCCTTTAAAAAAGTCTTAAACTTCTTTAATATTTTAATAAAAGATTTAAAGTAATATATTACTATATACTACTAGTTATATAAATTACTTATAAACTTTAGTTAGGCTAAGGGATTAGGATTCTTAGTAGTATTTAAGATTATAGTTTAAGGCCTTAGAAACTCTACTATAGTTATTTCTTTTAAATTTATAATTAGAAGATACCTAGTCTTTATAATAAGAGTTCTATAAAAAGCTTATAATAGACTTAATACTAATTAGGAGATTATAAAAAGAAAGGTAATATTTAAATATTACCTTAATAGCCTATAGCTAAAATAGACTAAACTACTAGGTATTAGGTTCTAGGTTAGTCTTATTAACTTTTTATCTTATAAGAACTTATATAATAAAATATATTAGGTTATAATAGTATTTAATAGAAAAGTAAGAACCTTTTAATATTTTAATATTATTTATAAAAAGAAAGATAATAAAGTAAAGGTAATTAGACTAATATTTAGATAATAGCTTATTAACCTTTATTTTCTTTACTTATTTTTTATAATTTATTTACTAACTAATAAATAAGATAATACTTAGTCTTATAGCTATTTTATTATTTATAATATAATATTATTATTATAAAGCTATTTTAGTAATATATTACTTAAACTTCTTAGAGGATAATAAGGTAATAAAATAAATATCTAGGTTAATAAAATAAAGATTAAATATAAGAATCTAGTCTTTTAGGTACTATTTAATAAGACTAGCTTAGAACTTTATTAGGTTAATTAAAATAATCTCTTTAAAGATAAGGTTAAAGATTAAGTATTATAAGATATTATTTTATAATATATATTTATTAATAAATTAAAGATAAAAGTAATAATTTTATAAAAAAAAGAACTACCTATACTTATATTCTTTAAATATATTATATTTAAAATCTAGAAAGTAGTTATAAATATTTACTTTATTCTTAGTTATTTTTACCTTTTTAATTAAAGATAATAATATTTTAGGTATTAAATTAGTATCTTCTTAGATAATATAGGTAAAGAGTAATATAAGATTATAAATAATCCTCTTACTTATTCCCTACTACCTAACTTTAACCTTAAATATCCTCCTAGTATTAAAGAACTTCTAAATAGTAATTTTATAGCTAAGGAGATAAGGTTATATATAATTAATACTAATTAAAATACCTTATCTAGAGAGGGTATACTTACTTTAACTAATACTTTTATTAAAGATAATATTTTAAGATTAGTAAAAAGCTTAATTAGATTTAAAACTTACTTTTTATCTTATAGCCTAAAAGTACTTAAAACCCTTTTACTAATAACTTAAATAAAGCTTAGATTTTAACTAATAAACTTTTCTAAAACTATAAATATATTATCTTTAGTAATACCTAAAGTTATATAACTTCTTATTCTAGATAGAAAAAGACTATTAAGTCTTATATTATTAATATAAAAATAGTTAACTACTTAATATTTACCTTTATAATATATAGAGTTAGTTAAGACTATAGGCTCTTAATTTTTTATAAATTCTTAATAAGTTATTAATTAATAAAGTTATATTTTAGCTAATATATAAAAGTTTTTAATATTATAATCTTTATAGTTATTATTAGCCTTAGTAAAATAAATATAAGAGGTAAAAGCTATAAGGTAAGAAGATATTATAAAAGGTAAACTTATTAAAGATATTTATATTTTAGATTAATAGTTAAGAGAAGACTTTAAGGAAAGCCTCTTTAAGAGTATATTTACTATAAATATATACTAATATTTATAATAATAAAAGAAATACTAGTATTATACTTATTCCCTTAATAAAGAAAGAGAGTTAGTATTAACCTAATTAAGGTATAAGAATTAAATAAGGAAAGTTATTAAGTAAGAGGTAATCTTCCTTTTCTAGACTATTAATATTTTATAGCTAATATAGATTAATATATTAGATAAAAGACTTTTTAAGGAGGCTTACCTAATAATATCTTTTTATATAATAATCCCTTTTATCTTAAATAGTTTAACTATTACTAATATATAAGATAAGGTTAAATTTATTATTTATACTTTCTAAAACCTAATAAACTTAAAGGCTAAAAAGTTAAATAAAGTATATCTAGAGAATTAGCTTAAGTTAAAGGAAGCTAATAAAAAGAAAGTAATAAAGATTATAAGATAATATACTAAGAAGAAGGCTAAGAATATAAAGTTAGTTATAGTAAAAAAGGTAAAAGTAAAAGTAACTAGGGGTACTCTAATAAAGGAATAAGCCTAGAAGTATAAATAAGTAAGTAAAGAGACTAATAATTAGAAGTTTAGAGATTATTTTATTATATTTATTTTTTAGTTTATTATTATTAAGCTTTAATTTTCTTTTACTAGTTTTAGATTTATTACTTAAAGTTTCCTTTTATTATTTATTATTATATAACTAATCTTACTTTTATTACTATATAAAGAGGATTATATTAGTTAA